GTTGAGACCTCAAGTGTCATGATACTGGAGCTCAGATGCGCCTTTGCAGTTTTAGAGGGCCGCTTTTAAAAGGTTGAGGCATGATCAAGAGTGGAAAGTTGACCTTTCAATTGCTTTATTAGCACCCAATAGCCAGTGTCAGTACCGTACTGCCTGTGCAACCGAACAGGTGAGTACCTGGGCCTTGCTCACACCTTGCCATTATTAGTATCTGCAATATTTACGCTGAACATTTGCTCGTGTGTGTGTGTGTGTGTGTGTCTGTAGCCAAGAATCATTTTACTATTTTAATTTAGGAATACAGTGAAGTTTTTTTGTTTTAGTTGTAACAGTTAACACTTCAAAATTGCCTGTGCAACCGAACAGGTGAGTACCTGGGCCTTGCTCACACTTTGCCATTATTAGCATCTGCAATATTTACTCTGAACATTTGCTCGTGTGTGTGTGTCTGTAGCCAAGAATCATTTTACTATTTTAATTTAGGAATACAGTGAAGTTTTTTTGTTTTAGTTGTAACAGTTAACACTTCAAAATTGAAGTTACAATTCACTGTTACATTTTGTACACATTTTACTGTTACAGTAGACCCCCTCTTAACCGACCTCGTATTAACCGACAATCGGATTATCCGCCTTGTTTTAACCGACCTTGCTTTGAGAGCAGTTCGGTTTAACCGCCACTTTCTTGGAATCTCGGCATTTCCGTTCCCACGCTGGCCGATGAGAACTGAACCATGCGCTTATCTCCTCAGGATATGACTAAGAATAAATTATTTTGTATTGGTCACAAAAAATATAGCATAGCCTAATGTCAGTTTGTCATCATCGTTCGTAGCCCGAGCACATCTGATCTGATTTGTTATCTGTGCGGCAAATTTATAACATCATAAAGTGCGTTACGATTTTGAGAACTGATTATCTTGTTAACGCAACTTGTAGGGAGGGAAGGGAAGAGGGGTTAACAACTCCAGGTCAAGATAGTTTTGTGCCTGGAGCCTCCAGTGAGAGGCTATAAATAAACATCCTGTCTTGTAACAAAATGGTTGCTTGTATCTTTAATTTCGACAAAAGGTTCTGTACTGTATTACAATGGATTTGGAAAGCATCAATTAATACATAACAGTACTAAAGTTTTTAAAATAGGAATTTTTATTGACTCTTGCCTAGTATTATAATATATTCCACTGAAAGTAGGCCTATTTGACATAACCGTGTTTTGTGTTTATTTGTGACTTTTCTATCTATACGAAAAAGGAGATAAGAGTAGTTTATTTTATAAATAATGCAAGTATGACTTCAAAATAATGAATATATAATTACAAATGAATAGCACTTCATTATGTTATGATTATTGATTTTAGGGATTGCCCGTTTTAACCGACCCTTTGAGTTATCCGACCTAGGTCCGGTCCCATTTGGGTCGGTTAAGAGGAGGCCTACTGTATGCGTATGGTTTAATGCTAATACTTCCTAGCTGTAATGCAACTCAGCACCTATTCATCGTATTGCATATTGTGTTTTCTGTTACGTCTCATTGCTTTTGTACATTTCATGGCGTTTGACATTTATTGTTTTATCTTGTAACAATACAAACTCTTAGTAGCTGTGGTCTCTTACTCGACCTTTGTATTTGTTCCTTCACATTTGTAAGCTTGGAGGTATATTTCAACATTAAAGTTTATAAATGTTTATGTTTGTGAACAGTAACTTCACAATATTTGATCTTTTATAATTTGAGAATGTTTTCGTGCTGTTCTTGCTTGTTTTTACAAATTCAATATATAGTATCACTATCATTCGATTGTCTGGAATGTTGTGATTACTGTATTATACTAAACAAGTGATCATCCAACAACATTTTAAATCTTACATATTTTAGTTTGCCACATATTGCTTCATTTGTCCTTTTACAGAATACAATACCTATGTCTCTACAACAAGTTAAACACTTTAGAGAAGAGTAAAGAGTGAATGACGAGTGAAGAGGGTTACCATGGAACATCAATCGTGCTCGAGATCAATGTCCAGGAAAAGGACGGCGATTACAGCACTTTTACCAAAGCGATTTGCCGAGGCGCTGACGGCTGAGGAACTGGAGATCTCCTGTTAGAATGGAATACGATACTTAGGGTTGAGTCTATCAATGTGCGAATACGAAAGGAGTAATGAATAAAGTATGATCATGGAGAACATTTTGTTGTTTCTAACCGAGTTTATTGTTTATGTGTAAGGCTATAATAGAACTAAGCGGTTCAGGGATCTGATGTGTATGCACACAGAGTTATTATACAGCTATTATGGTTTATTTAGCACTATTACTGGTTTTGTGTTTAATACATAGCAGTCGCGCTGTTGAGCTAGATTGGTTTATGCATAAATTAAAAATCAGACAAATCTATCACTGAAATCTGTATCTAAATACTGTATCTTTAATTTATGAAGACTCTTTAATAGTATCTGTTAAAACAATGGGCATTGTCATTTTTTCTATTGTTAATGTTTGTTGAAATTAAAATGAAGGCGGTGATACACTTTTAGTTGTATTTTGTCAGCACAATTTGCCGAAATAATCATTTTTATTGTATCTTCTGCTAAAGCATTTAGTGGGAGTAAATCATATGTTTTTGTCTTATTATCACCGGATGCATACGTCATTTTGTTACAATATCTCTTTTCACTTAGTATTTTAGACACCTATTGAATAATAAAAATATCAGTAGGATTATTCTGTTTTCAGTACAATGTGAACAATAAACCAAAAATTGTCATCTATTGGCTGGCTGAGCTTGTTGACAAAGACAAAGAAATTAAAATGTCAAAGGAGCATCAAGACTTCAAGTGGCTGCCTCTGGAAAAAGCTTGCGAGTTGTCTGGTTTCAAGGACTTTGCCGATCTTCTGAAAGAATGTCAGGAGTTCATTTGTAAAAGCCTGTGATTTATTAGTAATAATTTTTTCATACCTTAAACGTTAAATAAAATTATTCTTATATACCCATTTCCAGCTTTTGAAACTTATTTACCAACCTAAAGTAAAAAGAACATTTCTACACGGAGGACAAGTTTGAAAGCTAGTGTTTTTGTGCCTAAGTTTTGTTACCTATTTTATGTACTGAAACAAACTTTCTAATTAAATGCTCAACCTTTACTTTAACACATTCACTGTGTACCAACAACGGCATAGTCGAGCGAACCAGTTTGGCTTTAAAATATTTCAGTCTGACAAATAGCAAACGATGTTCAGCTTTAAGACGAAAGTCAACGTAGATTGCTTAAATACTCACAGATAGCAGCACCGTCTGGAACTAGCCGGTCTCATTGTATTGCCAATTGGAAGTAGCAAGACGGGACAAGTTGATTAATGATTTCTAAGCTTGTCAGTGATTTTACAGGGAAATGTACTACCAACCTATACCACAATAAAGCACCCTTTCCTAGCTAAACGCAGACTTAAAAATGCCCGTTCCTCCCGGTGTGCTGCTGCGGAGAAATTGAATGGAATGTAGGCAATGTCACCACTCACGGGCGAGCGCTCAGGGTGGCAGAAACGAACTAGAGCACACACCGAGTGACCCGCAGCGAACGTGTTAAACGTATGAAATTTAAGATTTAAAAATTACACATTTAAAACACACAACACAATTTGAACATTTTAATTATTTTGTAGGAGGTGACAAAGCTGGGAAATTTTACGTGATGAAGCCATTGTTGTTAAACATGTAGTATCATAGACTTACTATTTTCCAAGTTGACTCTTCTTTTTTTGTAAAATGTATAGCCTGTTTTGACCTATAGGACTTAGGTTGAGAAAAGACAAACAGTTCTGCTGCCCTCAGCTGAACTTGGAAGATACTAGCCAGCACTTGACTTTGCTTCTCTTTGCTTTTGCATGCTGCGTTTACCACAGTTTGTGGACCCCTCACTCACACTTGTACCCTTGACCTAGTACCACTGGTAACAGAGATCTGTGACTGAGTGGACATTTCGTATTGCTTCATCTTATATTTTAATAATTCAGAAAAAAAAATTTCTTTGTTGCCAATTCTTTAATTTGTGATTACTCCAAAACAAATTAAATGTTTTTTCCTACAGTCACCCCACAAAGTTGGCTTCCTTGTACTGTTTATAGTACAGAAAGCTGCTAATTGCTGCATATTTATACTTTGTCGTACGGTTTATACTTTGGCACACATCAGGATTCCAACGAAACAACACAAAACAGCGTGGTTCTATTATGCACGTAATCCGTGTACGCTTGGAAATAGGTTGGCAACACTTGATAATAATACTATGAGCAGCTGATTGACTATTATAACTACGATTTAACCTGTCATTTCGTGTTTATAGTTTCGGTATTTCTGAACTTTCTGGACTTTTCTTTTAAACGTTTTTAAAACATTCCTACTATCTTAATAAACAAGAAAAAACCTTTAAAGCATTTTTTTTAGGCGCATAAACCACTTCTAATTACAAAAACATACGGAACTATATTCTCAAGTCGCGTAGCACATTTCTTGCCGAGGAAAAATAGCGGAGTGATACGGGCCGGGGACTACTTTCTCTAGGGCACCTATTTGTGTTGCCAGCTGAACCTAAAAACGTGTTGTATAGTGTTTGAAGGACTAATTATTTATATGCTTTATAGTGACTGTAGGAAAAATATAATGTGTAACACGACAAAACGCCTTTGCTGCACTCGAGATCATTCCTCTCGTAAACATTGCTCTTGTGTGCAGCAAAGTGCCACTTTGCCCACTAGTTACACAAATAACTATTGAGTTTCACAGACTGTTTATGTAATCAGGGAATTGATGAATAATAACTTATTTTTAAAGTTTGTTATGTCAAGGTTTTTGCCGGATTATCAAGTATCTACAGTACTTCTATACTTCAGTACTTCTACTTAAGCTTGTAGCGCAGCAACCAAATACATCACTAACAATCACCAGTCAAACCAATGGACTGGTATTCCAAGAATATTTCCAAGGAAAATAAAAACAAAAATTAGTGCCCAATAAACTTTTTACTAATCAACAAAAATCTTTACGACATGTACATATATACAATTCAAATTTTACTATGAAGCAGATTTTCTGACAACTTTAAGATGGCACCAAATCCAACACCTATAATTTTTTTGAATAAAGTATTGTGTTAACACTGGTTCTGGTTTACAATTAACCGGAAAAAATACTTAAATCACAAACATGCATAGCTCATACCACCCTATTTAACATCCCTAAACGGATTATAAGTTAAAGAATACTGTTCCATTTACAGCTAAAATAAAATTCATGCTATTTAAAATCAGTTTAATCAACAATACAATAAATATGAGTAGATGTGTATAACACAGTAAACTTGTAAAACACACTTCCTAAAAATTAAAATATAGTTTTTTTGGCAACTAGTAAATAGCTTTCGTCTATTGGTGGTTTCTTGGCAGTTTAATTGATGTAAAATTACTAAACAAACTGGAAACTAGGATAAAATGTACTAAAAACTTAAATAACCTAAAAGTGCAGGAAGACTCAAAAGGGGAAACTAATAAAAGGCTGAATATATTCAGGGCGAATAACACTAGTCAAACTATCCCATGCTTAATCTTTTTCCATTTAGACTTTTCACCAATGGATCAATATAATTTATAATTTTAACTAAAAATCTCAAAATTGTTAGGCATGGACTATCTGGATTCTATTCTGAGTAAAGCAAAGGAATGTTGAGAAAGTTCTCGTAGGCAATCTAATCGGTAAACTTTCTGTTGGTGTTCTTGCCGAAGAGTGCGTTACGTATCTGAGGCACCAACTGTTGTGCTATGAGGTCCAACCTGGCTTCCAGAGTGTTGGAGATCTTTATCTTGCCTCGTTGAGCGAGCAATTCAACACCTCCACAGCTGTCTTGCGGCAGAAAACTCTCCGAGTCCACCTTCAGGTTGATCTCCTGGCCAGAAACCTATAGAACAGTAAAAACTTAGTAGATTAGAAATAGTGGGATCATCCTTAATTGTTTCTAAAATATAAAATACCCCCGCCGCAGCAAACCTGCAGACTAAGCGAATTTCCATTTGACTGATTGGATTTACACTGAAATGTCTACTTAAATATAACATTTATTCCCGATTTAAATAGAATTAGTTTAAAAAGTACTTAGGTTTGCTGCATCAGGGAGGGTAAAACTGTTTTTTTTTTTTTTTTTTTTTTGTAAAATGTTAATAGTTAGTAAGAAATAAAAAAATTTCCAAATTTGATCAAAATATGTTCATAAACAAGCAAACTACAACAGTTTACTTATTCTCCATAAGAATAACATGGGTATTTTAAATTTACAATTTTTTTGAAATTTTCTCCGTAACCATTAGGCGCATAATAACGCTTCAATATACTAAATTATTTGTTTTTTTAAGCTCTACAAAATGGTTTAGAAAGAAATTGCAAAATTTTATGTTTTTTGAGTCAAAAATGGGAAAAACCTATTTTTACCCCATAAAAACCCCCATAAGCCCCCGTTCCCATGGTCCGATCATGCTGGATCGCGAACTCGTTCGAATAAACGTAGGTTTACACGTTTGTACCAAATTTCATCAAAATCGGATCATTTTTGCTCGAGTTATCGTGCTAACGTACACATATATATATATATATATATAAATATATATATATATATATATGAATTTGAACGAATGGTGTTTTTAGCCTCTAGGGACCTCAAAACGAAAAAAAAAAATCAGTCCCGCGTCCAGGTCTTACCATGAGTACTACGGTAATAGCTTATTCCCTATATGGGAAATTCGCTAAAAGTTGAGTCAGAATGTGTTTACAGCCTAACATTTTAAATAAAGGGTATCGATCAACATACTGATATATGATCCTCCCATTTGCTTAATTATATTGGTAAACCGAGGGAGTTACTATGAGTTGTTTTGGGGAAAATCACAAAAATGTTAATAATTTTAGAACTCTAACTGTTACGGCATTGGGGGTTATACCGTTGTTTTGAGGGTCTAAAGGACTATAACCTACTAAATTTTTACTAAAATTATAAGAGCCGTTTTTGTAGAAATCTTTTTTCCCTATTATTATATGGGTAGCTCACTAAACATTTTTTAATGAAGAAATGCGCCTGGAGATCCCATAGATTAGTACGCACACACCAAATGTCATCAAAATCTAACCATAGGTGTTGACGAGAACAATACAAACGTATTTGTTTGCCAACCCAACAAATAGGGTATTACTAGCTTTTACCTTGCTGAATTCTTCAGCTATGGCAGGGACGATGCTCTCAGCCAAAGGAATATCAGCTTCACGCACTCGCAGGAGCACGTTTGGTTCCAACAGCTAGAAAACATCAAATCAGCATTTAATTTACAACATTTGTTTAATTTACACGGTAAACTTTTGTCAGTTTTCTACTGTTACTAAGTTTGACCCTGAAACTACAGATAGTGTTCAAAATGGTTGAGACATTGATCATTCCAATATTGAACAAACTCCTATACAAAGCATGAGCCGGGATGGTCTCTTTTGATTTTTTTTATTTAATATTAAAATAAGATTCAATATTTAACAGTTATAGTTTCTTAAGAACAATGGACCATTGTGCTCTACGTTACATGCTTAATGTAAGTTAAATGTGTTGCCTTATTGGCCAGCCAAAGAAAGGTTAAAGAGTCGAGTTATAAATAGGCCCTACTTCTGAGAGGGGTTTGGTATTTTAGTAAAATAAAATAGTTGATTTATTTACAATATCCCGAATAGGCCTATCCTTAGCCACTACAACCAAAGAATTGTAAAACCGTTGCAACATGTATTAAATTTATTTAATTACTAACTTATGACATTGTAGAAGTTTGTATGCCATACCAGTCATTACAGTAACCACAGTTGTTAAAGGAGAAATTGAATTTTAGACTCTAGAACACTATAAAGTAGGTTCATCAATGTTATTTTTTAAATATAAATGTTCTACAGTTGGTCCTTGTAGATGAAATGTCTACATCAGTAACTCACAATCAATCATCATAGGTAGGGTTTGAAACCGGACATCCGACACAGAATTCTCTTGCTCTAACCAATAAGCTACGTCCATTAAAGAGCCTTAAGAAAAGTTGCAATCATAAATGGCTTGACAGAAAATTTACAAACCTGTAACAGTCCTTGAACGGTCAAGGCCTTAAGAACCTCTGAGTATTTTGCTGTGTTGCGGCTAAACTCAGACAGCCTCTTGCGTGCTTCATCCAACACGGTACGAACATGATCCTCTCTCACTTTCAACACCTTCAGTCGAGCTTGGTTCAGCATGTTTGATGACTGACTGTAAGCCAAATGCATATTTGTGGATAAAAAAAGATCTATTAGCACTGAAACACTGTTTTTGTTATCTAGTTAAAATGCATTTCAGCACTAAAAATTAGAGTAAGCCTACGGTTAATCTATTAATATTTAATTAAATTACTAGGCCTACAATACATTAAATTTAAGAAGTGACTAGAACAGATGAACAGTACAACTAAAACAACTAAAAATTTGAGTGACGAGGACTATTAAGTAGTTCTAATCTATTCTATTGTAGTCATTGCATCAATCCTGGAAACAAAAGCTAATAAATGATTAATCAACTATCATTATTTATTGATGCTGATATATTTTTGCCAAATTAACTTCTACATTTGTCCAATAGCAGCATTTATAATGGTTTTGGTATCGCCAGTGCTCGATTTAAAAAAATGATGTGCCGGAACTGTAACCAAGGCCCTATTTAATGTGATTTGTATCTATTTAGCCTACGCCAATAGTTTTATCTTTTCGAAAGAGATGAACCAGTACAGTATTCAATTCCACCGCAATCCGCTGAAAAATAAGCACTGGGTATCGCCAAGGCATTGAAAAATGTTGTATAACTTAATTAGGTTTTTACGCTATAGAATGAAACTTAACAATCTATTAGTTTCTATATTACAAACCACTTACACTGCCAGGAAGGTGGGAAAAGAAGGAAACAAAGGTTTAGGAAAGGTTGAGAAGTTAACAAACATACATTTTTTTCTGAAGTTCAACTTGTTTCTCTTTTCTTTCATAGTATTCCATGATCTTGAGACGTTGGTGCTGAACAAGCCTTCCCTTCTCAATGTTGAACTCTTCTTCAGCCTTTGCATCGATCTCTTCGGCCTTTTCATTGGCTTCTTGCTCAATGAAAGCCATCATATGTTTGATCTATAAACAGAATAGGCCTAGTTAAAAAGGGGTTGACATTGTTAGGTCTTAAAAACTTTGCTGGAAGTGAGTCAGAAAGTTCTTAAATGGCTTAAAAGCCTGTCTATTTAAATGGACTGCAGTGAAAGTTATTTTAAAGTCTACAAAATGTAGTAGGCTACTGTAAATAAGATAAAAAATATACTGTTTGACCTAAAAATTAACTTACCATTGATTAAATGTACCATTTTAATATTTATTACAATATAATAAAACATAATTTGTAGTTTTGATCACTCAGGTGGCTGGCTGTAATGCCCCCTGTTTTTTTTAAGCAAACTTGAGATATAGCCTATTTCACATAGGTTTTCCCTGCCACACAGGACAGTGGTGTTGCAAAAAAAATACTTACCCGTTTAACACTAAGAGTGTTGGCCAGCAATACTGGTACCACTGGCCAAAAACACATTTATTCCATAAAATGTTATCATCGTGGATGCTATAGGTCGGCCGGTTAGAAAACTACCTCCTCGTAGCATTGGTGCGAGAGAGAGAGATACCGAGCTGTAGGCGTGAGACAGACTATGGCTCTTCCCCCACTCCGCTACCGCCCCACCCCCACCCTTCCCGAACACCTTAAATATTAACAGCAATTAAATTATACAGCTTTTATCAAAATGTAAACAATTACGTTCTTCATAACTTGAGAAAAATAGGTCCTGCAAAAAATATTGTATAGCCAAAATCGCACCAATATTTGAAATTGAGCATCATGAAATGTTATTTATCATTGTGTAAGCAGTTCCATTTGGTAACACAGGATTCCAACTCCCACGACACCGGGGCGGCGACGTGTCGGTGTCGTGCCGGTGTGGTGTCGTGCAGTGTGAAAACGGCCATTGGCAGAGAGGGGGAACATACCCTCCCTCGCCGTTACCTCCCCTACATGCGCTTAAAATTTCGCGCAGGTCGTTTTCTAACCGGCTTACCTATAAGTGTGTATGCATTAGCGATTCAATTTTAACTTGAATGAACCACAATTAGAGTCAAGAAGCCGTTGTTTGTGAATAAAGTTAAATTAAGTTCTTCCACAAACCCCAGTCGGGTCCTAAGTGAAAGCTGCGCTTTTTACAACCATGCTCTAAGTTAGCCAGTCTTTTTCCAATGAGAGGATTTTTAAGACAGTTCACTTTATAAATCACAAAGTTTAAAATCAGCTTTTATAAATGTTGACCCGTCCTATTAAATTTACCTAATTGGATTTTTAATAGGGCATAGATAAAAATAAGTATCCGCAGTAGTGGTAAACCAAATCTTTTCTAACCAAAAAATTCTCAAGTCTTTGGTCTAGATAGAGAATACAAGCTCTAACCTACATTTCAAGGCCATCATAACTTAGTAGGCTTGAATTAGGCTAACATTTATTATATAAAAAATCATGCAACATCAGCAACTTAAAATGTTGATTCTCAGTCAAATGTTTGAGGGTACAAAGATAATGAGATTTTTTATCAGGAGTCAGATATGTAGGTAGCCTAACTTATCTTCTAACAAAAATGATGTGGCTTTGGACTATCCTGACAGTCACATGACTTGGGAGAGCCTATCTTCCCATTAGAAAAGAAGTATCCCCGTCAATCAAATTCCTAACTTTTTGCAACAAATGCCATTAAAAATTATTTTTGTAATCATAAAATAATCGTGTTTGACTTAATGCCAGAATAGTCGAAGAAGATAAAAGCGTCTAAAATAGAAGCTGAAATTTCGGGTCTTAGTACAGACACCCAGTTGGAACAACTGATTAGGGAAAGGATATTTATTGCTTATTTTGGATATAAAATTAGTAAAATTTTTAGCGTAACTGGAAAACATACCTGCTTTTGTACGTCCGCATCGCTTAAAGCCATGATTGATTGAAGTTAAATACGAATTTCTAGAAATATAAATAAAATTGTCTGAGAATGTAGACCAAGCCCTGAAGAAGACGATGTCACAGACAGACAGGCAGAAGAAAAATCATATGATCGAGCTGGAATACTGTACTCAAGGTTAGTTTGGTTTCAATCAATATTTTGTTTTATATTTTTTATTGGCTTGTTAAAAATAAATCAGTTAAGATAATAGTTAGTTTTCAAGTTACAACTAAAAATGTTATAAGAAAACCTTTTATTTTTACGTAATATTTTTGGTAGTTAACTGAACTCAGTGGTATTTGGCAAGCAGTGAAAAACATGGATGGTTTCTTGATGTGGAGTTACAGTTAACAGTTAATTGAAAATAGAAACTCTCGATCATAATGTAAGTTTTTTGTATTAGTGTGCTTTTTTAATCATGCGTGACTCAATTTTAAATTAAAAATATAGTTTCATCGTTCTGTTACTTATTAATGGAGGGGTAGCCTAAAAGGTTGGGTACACAGCTTCCATCTTTGAGACTTCCTGCTTGTCCAGAATACGCGTATAATTTTGCTATTGTTGTATTTTCTTTTTAAGTATTTGCGTAGTCCTGTCAAAATTTTAAAAGTTCAAAAAGGGTTATTTTCTTAAAATTCCCCGCTTCATTTTTACACATTTTAATGGTGTCACAAATAGTTTTAACCTTTATTTTCTTCGTAGAACCGTGGTAGGATTTCATTGAGTAGGCCTAGGCCTAAGTGTAAGTTACTTAGGTTTATAAAACTGCAGCAGGGCTTAACATAGATGTACTCTTTCAATATGCGTTTAAAATGTACCGGATATTTTCATATTATAATCTAACTCACTCACGCAACCATGTACGATTTCAAACCCTAAGAAGTAATAATTCCAGGGACTAGACAAAAAATAGGCTAGGCTTTGTCCATATCTCTTTTTGAGTAGGCTACCTCTGTAAGTTTAGTTTTAGACTAGATTTGAGCCACAGCCTATTATTTTATCTTGATTATCAGTGCAAAATAAATTATTATTGGATTAATTTGAAGGTGTATTAAAAATATTGAGTTTTATTTGACTCTTTAATCTGATTAGGCCTAACTTAAGCAGTCTTCTTTCAAACAAGGACAAAACATTAAAAGTTAGGGTAATTCTGAGCAATTACTTGGTCAACCCCAAACTTTTTCATATTTTACTACGGTCATTAAGTTAGGATGTTCTTAGAAAACAAGAAACATAACTTAACTTAGGCTATAATTCAAGTCCCGCAAGGTTAGGTTAAACTTAGGTTAATTCATAATGATCCTGGAGGTATATGAATTATATTAGGCCTATATGATAGGTTAATGTATGAATTAACCTTACCTAACATAACATAACGGTACTGTCACAACTGGCCTTCCGCGCGTCTCCCGCAAGCCACTGTTATCGCGTAAGTTTGACTTTGAACCTTCTTAACTTATTGCCCGGCAACCTGTACAATGGCCTTGCGGCGCTTGAATTATATGTTTCTTGATTTCTGATAACATCCTTAAGTATGACCGTAGCAAAATATGAAAAAAATTTGGGTTGACCAAGTAATTGCTCAGAATTACCAAAGTTAGTAGCCTAAACTTACATGTACTTACCTAACTTAAATAGTTTTGTATTGAAGAGATGAGTTCTTGGAACCCTCTCGATGCTCACCGTTTATGGTACGGTACTGGCAACGTCGGTTTTAAGTTTAACTTAAGTTAACCTTCGATGTAGCCTACCGAAATCATCGATATTTTCTGCGCAAGAACATAGATATTTGATATTTTATTGTAGGCTATGGTTTTTTACTAAAGTTACAACAACACAGACGTTTGGCTAAGCGTTGGTAACTTAACTTAAGTTAGTTTCTAACGCTAGATTTATGTTCTAACTTAGACATCGAGATTCTGATGTTAGATTCTAAGCTAAGACCGCTCAGGTTCTTTATTTATTATCTCCTCGGCATTTAACTTATCAGTTTAGTTCTAGGCCTAAGTACTTAACTTAGGCCTACCTTCTTACAAAAATTGTTGGCTATGACATTAAGTTAATAAGTTAGGTTAGCAAATTTAATGTTTAATTCTTGTGTAAGGTACCTACCAATATTTAATAGGTCAGACCTAAAAAAATAAACCTGTCGTTTAAAAACAGAATTTGTGTTCTAGACAGGCAGTTTCTCTTCCACATTTCCAAAAATCAAAATATCTGACGTAATTGATTAAAAGTTATGCAGGGCCTGGAGTGATGCTGCCTTTACCTTACCTTTACCTTTACCTTCGATGTCTTCTCCACAATCTGGTGATTGGGGAATCGTCAATATTTTATTGAAGTAGCTTGATGAGCCCTATTTGAGGTGTTGGCGTGTGTGTGTTCTTCAGTGTATTCTGATAGTGAGTAGTAGGGTCTTTCTGTTAAGTACCCTTATAGTGACTTAATGAAGATGCTTCGCTTGTTTATCTGTTTTATGGGTTGTGGCAGGAGATTGTAGAGGGATGATCCCGAGTGAGATGGTGATTTACTGGTTTTGTTCAGTCTGTGGTGTGGAAGGTGAATGTTGTTTTTGTTGTGGGTGTTGTGGTTGTGTGACTGGATCAAAGGATTGGATTTGAATTTACTATGAGGATTATGGTCTCCAGGATGTATGTGGATGTGATGGTCAGGATCTTGTGGTTCTTGAAGAGCGGCTTGCAGTGTTCTTGGTAATTTTTCCGGAATATTGTTCTAATGGCCTTCTAAATCACGAGTAATTGGTCTAATTTGTTCTGGCTGAAGATCCCCAAGCCACAATGCCGTATCTAATGTGACTGGCAAACAGTGCATGATATACCATAAGGGCTGTTTTTTCATCAGTTATGCTTCTTATTCTTTTTATTGCAAATAACACCTTGGATAGCTTCTTGCAGAGGTGGTCTATATGTGTTGATGCCAGCTGAGGTGTTGGTCAACTATGATGCCAAGGAATTTAGTTGAGCCTGCTTCTACGAGTTTTCAATTGTTGGTTTCAGTATTTTTTGTGCATGTGGGTGTGAAGTTGATATGCAAAGTTGCTTTGTTATTTATTATTAGTTGTAGGGTTTACAGATGGTTGTTACCGTAGGCTACTTGATCTATTGTTGAGTTGATGATGCGACTTTCTATTTCCATTTCTCACAGTTGGGGTTATTATTGTAGTGTCGTCTGCAAAGAGCACACGTTTTTGGGTGCTGTTTAGTTTGTCTGGGAAGTCATTTATGTATATGAGGAATAGTAGAGGTCCTAATATTGAGCCCTGAGGTACACCTCTTGTCACTTGTTTGATTGATGATTTTACTATATTGATTGATTTGAGGCTGTAATGATTTATTTCTGTGTACCGGTATTGAGTTCGGTCTGTAAGATAGCTTTTGATCCATTTTATGGCTTGATTTTGAATTTTGTATTTTTCTAATTTTCGTATAGGCCTAAGTATTTTCCAGTCTAAGGAGTCAAATGCTTTTTGCAGATTGATGAATTTGCCAGTGGCCGTTTGTTTTTCTTCCCAGATTTCCGCAATTTTGTTACAAAGGTCTGCTATGGCTGTTGTGGTACTATAAGTTTTTTTCTGAATCCATGTTGGCATGACGTGATTATGTTATTTCTTTCCGGGTGTGCAATAATTTGATTGTGTAGCTCTTTCTAGTGCTTTTAAGAGAAATTCATTACAAATGAATTTGCTTTTGGCACTCTACTCTTATCTAAGTCTAGTCCAGTTCGTGACAGTTTATGATTCGATACTTCATTGGCCTTACAAAATTGTTAAAAACTGGAAACGCTCTTTTATATATACCTAAGTTCATATAACATAAACATTTCAAATAATCCAAATATAGGTACTGTACCTATATTTGAATATAGGTAATATAGATATAGATAAATTTCAAAATAATTCACTTATTTCGGCGCACTTTTTCAAATGCGCAGACTCAGAGACCGCAGCGCGTGTAATGGAGGGTTAAGTTAGCTTATTATATGATTACACTTGTTTTCCATTGGGAAAACTAAGTTAAGATAACTAAGTTCTCCACTTTGATACAATACGGTAGCATACGATAACTTATAAAATTATTTGTAGTCCGGACGTTAAATACATAGGACATAATGTAGGCCTATTTAACAGGGTACTTGATACTCTGGTTTATGCTTGTTTTATTTATGTTTAATGTTTGTTTTAGATATCGGTGGCCATGGCCAACCTTAATTTTCAACAACCGCCTAGAAGTATTGCGAACCAAGGTCTTTCGAGGACAGGCTTTGGTACAAGTTCTCTCTCTGGTCATGTTACGCCTACGTCTGGAATGTTCCAAGGTTCAAGCAGCTCGTTCACTCCTCAACAACTGTCTCCGAACAGAAACCTCCCTCCAATGACCAACAGAAATTTGTTTGGCCAACGAGCTTTTCCGGAGAGGAGGCCTGTACCTGCGCTAAGTTCTGTGATGCAAGAATGGTGAGTTTTACGAAAATAATATAATAATCTTTTTGTCTCCAGGATTGATGCAATTAGGTGCTAGTTTCAGTACATATTATACAAAGTCAGTCCATAAAGATATTTTGCATTGGCGCTGTTTGTCACAGATTTTTCACTTCCACACTTCATTTTTATAATGTTTGAGCTTGATTTTTGCAGGAGTTCAAACCCAATGGGAAGTATGGGGAGTTTTGGGATTCCCCAGAATAGAACGTTCGGATCTCAAGGTGCTATGAGCAACTTCCACTCTGTGTTCGGAGGAGGAGGCGGAGGAGATACCAGCACACCTCCACTATTAGACTTGTCTCTCTCTGAGTTTCCGTCGTTAACCAATCGAGGGCAAGGCGACTCCATGCCACAACCTAGCACCATGCCTGGCAAACAACCTTATGGTAAGTAGCAGCATGTTCCTTACAACTAACTAAATCAAACCTTGAAACAACGAATATGATCAGACTGAATGCGTGGTTTCCCTGAATTTCAGAGTAAGTAAAAAGCTATGCAACTGTCAGGAAAGCTAATGAAAAATCAGTAGTCAGTGAAAAACGTACGCAATGATATATTTTGTCTCACACTAATAGTTATTGTTGAAAAGATTATTAATTGTTTAACATTACGTAAAGTGATTCTGTCTATTATAGGCCTACCGGTTAACGGCGGATGTTTTTTTGATGGACAAAATATTTTTTTATATCAATAGGCTATCATTATTTTGAGCAGATGATTAACTAAGGTGCCAAGAAAAAAGACAATGAGATTAGGATAAGTAAAACACTTTGTTGTTTAGCGTTGTTACTGACCCAGACCAGCGATTCTTTAGCCTGCACAATTTATTAAAAGCACAATAGTTAAGTACAACGGGGTTTACTCCATCAGAAATTGTATGTCTCTTTATCAGGATTGAACGGCCGACCTACAGATATTTTAGGCAAAGCAGCTTAATCGCTCGCTACCAAGCTACGGTTTATCAGCTTAGTTTTGGAATAGTTTTGTCTGTTAATCTATTTTGTTTTGTTTATTCTGAGACACTAAGTATTAAAATATGTATAATTTTAAAATAAAAACTTCACCAATATTTTCAAAATTTTTAATTTCATTAGGCCTTTCGCCAGTATAGCTGGCAAAAGACCTCATGAAATCAAAAACTTTTAAGATATTGGTGAAGTTTTTATTTTTTATTTATATTCATTTCAATATTACCAGTGCTTCTTGAAGATTAAAATATGTGTCTTTTTTTTATTTGTCAGTTAATTACAGAATTTACCTACAAAAACACATAAAAAGCTTTGTCATTTGATTTTTGAAAGAGGTTTTCACTATGGCGAAACTTGTGATGCTTCATATTATTTTAATTCAATGCTAATAACAATTACATGAACAGTTTTATACAACTCACATGTAAGGCATACAAATTTTCTATGAAACACTACTCCTCCGTTAATAATGGAAGGATTTTTAAAATCAACGTGTCAAAATTATGTATTTTTTTGTGTAGACGCCCCCTTTCACCAATTCCTGTAATAAAAGTCCTCAGGCTTTGCCCTACAGGCCATCAAAATCCCAATGTACATTTCTTATGAAGAAAATATACTAACCCAGCTGTTATGCTTCGTTCAGCTATTTAATTAAACGAGTGCACCTGTTGCTCGAATTCGAGCAATTGAAAAGTATGGTATTACCGTACAGGCGTTATTTCAAAACGAATAACAGTCATAGTTAATTTCTGAAGAGTCAACTCAAAGATAATGTTATAAATCACTCCACTCCAGTTATCGAAACTGTAAACAAACTCACTCTGAAAACGGATGCTCTTGTGGGTATCACGTGTTTACTATGAACAGCTGTAATCAATACAAATTATTCGTTTGTTTAAGTAAACAAAATATTTTTTTCATAAGAAATACATTGGGATTTTGATGGCCTGTGGGGCAAAGGCCGAGGACTTTTATTAGAGGAATTGGTGAAAGGGGGCGTCTAAACAAAAAATACTTAATTTTGACACATTGTTTGTACAAATCTGTCCATTATTAACGGAGGAGTAGTGTTTCGTAGAAATCACCTTCATGTATTATATATAAAGATTCAACTATCTATATACAGTGTGTAAATTAAGTCTGGCACACATTTTTTATCTTTTTTTCTATAGTAGATAGAAGAAATCAATTTGCGGGACTGATTAATAACAAATGCTAGGCACTTTTTACAAATTTTGAAAATAAAAATTCCCTTAAGGGCAAGGGGGGGTGGGAGGTAACTAAAGATTTTCAAATGACAACCCCCATCTTGTGACCCCTCATTTTAAAGGTATTTGGAAGACAAATTTAACGACGTGTCTGAAAATGTTTTTTTTTTTGCATCCTGTCTAATATGGCGGCTTAAAATGTACTTAGGGTTGAACGGGTGAATTAAGTCTGAAACATATTAAAAAATTTTCAGACACATCGTTAAATTTGTCTTCAAAACACCTTTAAAATGAGGGGTCACAAGATGGGGGTTGTCATTTGAAAATTTTTAGTTACCCCCCACCCCCCTTGCCCTTAAGGGAATTTTTATTTTCAAAATGTGCAAAAAGTGCCTAACATTTGTTATTAATCAGTCCTGCAAATTGATTTCTTCTATCTATCTACTATAGAAAAAAAGATAAAAAATGTGTGCCAGACTTAATTTACACACTGTATAAAGACAAAAGTACCCATGAACTTTTGAGAAAACTACAAGTCACACCCCCATAAACCATATACTTAAAATGTTCGTCATGACGAGAAACCTTGCGCAAAATTATCCATTATTTCATAAATTGCCCTATAAGGTCGTAATTGCTTTCCAAAGGGAACTTTCCATTTACCTAATGTTAAAAATACCACAGCTGTTATTATTTGTTTGTATTACCATTACTGTATTCTGTTTTGTTTATTTCATCTTAACTTAACCAATCAATTAAGATTAATGAAGATTTGTTTCTTGGTGCCATGTGGTCAATGAATTAGACTGTTGCATATATTTTAAATGCAATACACTATATAAAGTGATGGTAATACATTAATAAATCTGCATTTAAATAATCAATGAGTACGATTGAGCTTTGCCTACACGTTTGCCTGAATTTGTTGTTTCAAGAAACTTTTTTAATCCTAGGTTTAAAGAATGAGCTATGAATTCACAATGATTGAGGTTTCCATCACATATTTCTACCTACCTAAGTTTGCTCATACATAAAAAAATACTAAATTTATCCAACTCAATGCAAGCTAATGGTTTTGGTGCTGTAACATAAGGTGCTGTCATGAGTAGCCTATAGAAATTAATTTACATTAGTTATCCTTAATTTTGAAAACCATTACACATTGCCTTAGAATGTATGCTTGTAAGGTTTATGTTTAAAAGTTTAACCAAGAAATAACCAATAAATCGAGTTGCTGAAGAGTTAGCCGTAGGATTCTATAGGATGTATTTCAAATGGCAGTACGCGACACTAAGAACATTAAGCCCCGCATTACTCCATATATTTTTAATTTGCTTACGTTTTTAAACTATAATTACTACCATACCAATATCAAAATACAAAGTACCTACATATTACATGTTAAAATATCAATCTTTAAAAAGCATAATGTAAAATGACTTTAGTACCTTCACGAGAATCACAAGGAAAGTTGACTCAACATTTTGATAGTAATGTACAAAATGACGGAGCACAACTATGACTTGACTATGATATTTTACCTGTACCCAGTAAACATACTTAGGTACTTACTTACTCCCATGGCCATTTGTACCTGAAGTGGTACTTGGCCTCACCAACACACTGCCTCCACGTCGCCCTGTCTCTTGTGGTATCTTCAATGACTTCCATCCTGGCCATATCTTTCTTTACTTCATCCGCCCAGTGTTTCCTTGGTCTCCCTCGTGGTCTTCTCCCCAGTGGGTCACTTTTCCATATTTGATAAAGTGTGCTAGTACCAGTAATCACATGACGTTTCTAATTATGTTAATAGCACAACTATGACCCATAAGAGCTGTACTCTAAGTGAACATAGAAAGGAGTAGGCTGTAGCTAAAATCACTGTAAACGAGTGTAACAGATCTTAACATTTACACCGACAAATCACAACTCGATCAATCAACTGGTTTTTAGTTTGTTACTTTTTATTTTCGTTAAACCTTATTTACCACACATGTTTGACGTAATCCTTATTGTTGAATGACTCTGAAGTGAATTCCGTTGGTGTCGCAGTGGGTATGGTGAAGCAGCCGACGTCAGAGTCGAGTGAGTTCACCATGAGCAGTGAGGACTTCCCCGCACTACCCGGCACGGCCAGTACGGAGGGTCCTTCGCCCGGCGGGTCTGTGGTTAGTGGTGGAGGAGACAAGACTACCCCCGCCTCCGACCAGGTAAATACCCTGCCTACGTGGTTGGCACACTCTGAATAAGCAATTGCTGTTGGTTAAAAACTTGGAATAACAAAAAGTTGATTGAAAACTCTGAATAAGCAATAAATGACTTCAATTGCTTCCCTGCATGTGTCTCCCAAGATAACCGTTTTTCAGTATTATATTTGTTTATCGTAAGAATTGTGTGTTTTACATTGGTAATGACGGATCAAACCAAATTGGATCCGATAATTTATCACACCTGATTATGGACTCCATAAGTCTGAAACTATAGTAGTGTATACAAAGGATCCTTGACGATGCAAGGTAACATAATCATAATAGCAGGTGATAAAAATTTCTAAATAAGCAAAAGTTGATGATTAAAAACTCTGAATAAGTCAAATTGACAATTGATAATGGAAAACTCTGAATAAGTAATATTTGATGATTGGGCAAAAGCTAAATATAGTTTTACTGATTATTTTTGTGTGTCTACTTACAGTTTTTTCACACTGAAGATTTTGACTGTATAAGGGTTTTGAAGTTAGGTTAGATTATGATGCAGTTTATTAAGCCATAATTAATGAATCGAGTTGAGCAGGAAAATATTTTTGTACAATTGAAATAGTGGTATAAACACAGTAATAACTTCAAAACTGATTGCTCAAAGCGAGCTGCTGAACAAGGTTAGAAGCAGAATTTGAATCCTTACAAAATTGCCAAATTTTGGTCACACATTCAAAGTTAACTTGCAAAATGCATGTTATATCATCAATGGAACCAATACTGTTTTTGTATAACATTGCTATGCTACTGAAATATCAAATCTGTTTATTTACTATTCGATTAAAAGATGGGGCATTTGCCAAGAATTATTAAGGAAATTGACAGGAAAGCAGGCTTACCTTTAAATAAGTCTATAGAGACGGATAAAAAATACTGTACAACACAAAAGAAGAATTTTTTTTGTCACTGACCACTTTTTAAAACCACTTTCTCCAGGAAAATTTCAACTTTTGTGTTGTATATTTTATGTGTCTCAATGGACTTATTTAACGGTAAGCCTGCTTTCCTGTCAATTTCCTTAGTAATTCCTGTTTATTTACTATTGTTTTTTGTGTTGCTTATATTTCCAGTTAGATTTAAGTGTATAATGATGTATTATTCTGTACACAGCCACCTGCTAGTCAAGACCTGGTCAACAGCAGGCTAGTACTCAGCAATGACAAGAGCTTAGCTTTAAAACGAGGCATCCAAACTTCACCGGACGGTAAGACTTCATAATTGTAATAATTTATTACTTAAGATTTGCTTAAGTCACTTAATTGACTTGTAGTTTGAATAGTTTTAATCCCTTTTCTTACCTTTTCCAACTAAGAAAAACCTTTATCTCTGAAAACCGACGATTATCCTTAGATAAAGTTTTGGAAGAATAACTTATGTTATTGTTTCTTGTTCTGATTAAACGTTCTGTTCCTGAATCATGGAACTACAGTTCTGCTGTGTATTGTGTAGAAAGGTCCAAGACCAATCAGTTAATTTGTATTTTTCCTACTTGGTTTTTTGGGCAAAATTTAAAATAAAAATTTTTTTGGGTGAAATGCAATATTTTGTATTTAGTAGATTATTTGTCTTTTTATAGCCATTGCTAATCTTAAATGTTTTTAGTCATACAGAAGTAAGATACGGTACAGAGGAAACATTCAATGGTTTACTTCATTATTATCTCATTTTTAAGTAAGGTTAAGTCTTGTCTAGTTCTATTAATTGCCCCGTTCCGCTCTCCTCTCCCCCCTCACCGTCATACTACATAGCTCACACTGTAGGAAAAGCCTGTGCGCTACAACTGCTGTTGTAATCAATTGCCGTTCGGGCTCTTCCATGCTCGATACTAGTATGTTACCGCCCCGCCATTCCAGAGCTAAGAGCGCACAGTTGTTCCGTAACATGTTTCCTCTGTATTTTTTGTGTGCATGTCTTCTCTGTGTTTTAGTGAAATAACATGTTATTACCCAACCTATAATTTTTTAGTTCTACTTAAATATTCAAATATGTATTATAGGCCTATTTCTCTCTAAAGGAATTGTTTTTAAAATAAAATATGATAAATACTTCTTGTAACCTTGGATGAAATTCTTATTGCCCAGCAAAACTTTGCTAATCAAATCAAACTGATCAATTTTTTTCTCCCCCATTTGAACTTTGTATGTACTGTAGGCCTAATTTAATTTGTAAGGAAACTGTCCATGCCCTGGTCTTGATACCATTTAACTTCAACCTTTTGATAGTTAATATCATTGATTGTAACTAAAAGACAAATGGCTTCTTCTGGGTCCAAAATCCCTGATTAAAAATTGAAGGCGATTACTACAACACTGCCACCCAGACAAGTCATTCCATTTTTTGATTGTGTGTTAATCTATAAACTTGACATCTAGTATTAAATCAAGTGTTTGATACTAAATGTTGTAAGGCAACAGAGTATAAATTACCAGTAAAATTGTTACAGGCAAGGTAACGAATATCCCATCCAGCATGGTGAAGGACCAGTTTGGCATGGTGGGGCTGCTGACGTTCATCAGAGCGGCGGAGACGGACCCCAACCTCGTGTCTCTAGCGCTGGGTCAAGACCTGACAGCTCTGGGGCTCAACCTTAACTCTCCAGACAACCTGTACCCGACCTTCGGTGGTCCCTGGGCGGAAATGCCTTGCAGGCCACAGGATATTGACTACCACGTCCCTCCCGAGTATATCATCAACCACAGCATTCGGTGAGACAACGGGAAATGAAAAACATATCTAAACTAATAAATTTTGGTATAATCGTTTCGTTAGTCGTTTTGAGATGAGCAAACAATTTGGACCGTTTCCGTTAATTTACCACTATGTTTCTTTTACTCTTCTATACTGATATAAACAGAAGCAAAACAGGTTTTGTGAGCGCAATTACTAATAAACACACTGATACTGTTTACTTCAACCTGAGCTAGACACCGTTTTGCACATTTAATTGTAAAATTAAAAATGTGTCCATCACAACATGCAAATTACTAACCAACATCCTCTTTTTGTAAAAATGTAATACGTATGTCATATTATTCAGCTACTAGAAGCAGTAATGTAAATATAAAAAATACATAAAAAAATAACACTACTTGTGGACTAAGAATACTAAACAAGTTTCACAATATTGTTTAGTTGTTGATTATCAATTGAAATAATCAACATGTTTCTTTCTAAACAACAGAAAATGATGTGTTCCAGGGAAAAACTCGCCCCAATCAAGTTGTCGAGGTATAAAGATGATCTCTTATTCTTTATGTATTATACCAACATGGGAGATGTACTTCAAATCGCTGCAGCAGCAGAACTGTAAGTTTTTATGGCTTGAGAGATTTTAGTTATTAGCCTTAAATAGTATAGTGTTATAAATCATACAGATGATGGTGTCGGAGAGATTTTTTGCCACACTGGGCTACTTTAGTTTTAGTAAACTTTCCACACTAGGAATTCGTTGGGAAAGCAGCTGTTTGCCCCCTGCTTGATCAAGAGTAGGGATGTGTCAATTATCGATACCACCGATACTCAACTCGTTCGCGAAGATCATGCTATAGTAAAATTGCTGTGATTTCTCAAGACGACAATAACGTTTCCGTAACTGCGGGAGACCGCATATACAGATTTTTATTTTCACAGAGGATACGCGTCCGGTAACCAGACGTGGATTAGGCGTCCGGTAGTGACGTCACCGGGTTGTGGGGTCCCGGAACGCCATTATCACAACGATACGATATTCGGCCAGCGTTGTTCATGGTGTAGTGGATAGAGTGCTCGGCTGATAACCAAGAGGTCCTTGGTTTCTTTCCTACCGGTTTCTTTAACTTTTTGTCCCAGATTTTGCTTTGAATGTAATTCCTTCTTAACTGTACATCTTTTGTTAGAATTTTTGGCATTTGTAATTTTATGTTATCAAGAGAATTGAGCCTTCATTTGAATTTTTTCATTATCAGCAAGTTTGGTTGGTTAGGTTAGGTTATGACAGTAACTGCCGGACGCCTAATCCAGGTCCGGTTACCGGACGCGTATCCTCTGCGTTTTCTTTTTATGTACACCATTACACTATTTTCATTCTTCTGAAAGTTATTTATTGGTAAATGCTTTACTCTATTTAACTCACTGGTATCCTTAGGCCGTAACGTTTCTGCCCTGCTGCTAAATGTACTCTAACATTCTTAGACGGAACTATTACGCCCATCTGTTCGTGAATCTGGTATAGTTATTGCAAGTATTTTCAGTTTCCTTGGTTGCCTAACATGTTTTGGAAAACAAATATGTAAGTAAAATAGTAAATAATAAATGGGACTGTTGATGTTATGTTTTGTGTCAAAATGACACAACAGTCTCTCTTTCATGGTCAAGTGAAATAGACCTATCTGTAGATAATTGCTAATTTCCTTCCCAATCTTTTTAAGAAGTAAGATAATAATTCAAGACAAAATAATGAATATAGAAGTTATAGCTCTTTTTGTTACTCACTAAAAGAGAAAAAAATAGGAATTCCTGTGTGTAATCAGTTAGTGCAACTTCGGTACCTTTACCAATGGGTTAATCTTATTTGTTTAGCCTATCTAACATCGGTGTTCTCATACGCATCTTTTGTTTAAACAGAGTATGATGTTTCAGTTACACAAGAGAATGGAGGTACCACATGGAAGAGAAGGTGTGGATTACGCAGGCACCAGGGTACGGAGCTGTGGAGAAGACGTCTACGTACGAGCGAGGCACTTACTACTTCTTCGACGCACAGAACTGGCGTAAAGTGCCCAAAGAGTTTCACCTGGACTACAGCAAACTAGAGAACAGGCCCAGCATCCCGCAACAGTTGCATTCTGTATGACAGACTCTAAGTTTACGAATTGTTCTCAGGTTTTTTGTTGTCCTAATTTTTATCTCTAAATTCATTAAGAATTACCATTCCTGTAAAAAAATGATCAATTTTCATAGTTTTTTAAGAAACGTGTTGAATATTATTTTATTTTATTTGTGAACCGATCTATCGTTCAAAAGACTTTTTAGGATATGTTAATAATTTCTTTAAGTTAAATAAAACGTATAATTATATATAAAAATTGCACATTTTGTAATACATTTTTTATCTTGCCCTCTGTCTCTTTCCTGTACTGTAGTTGTTTGTAGCAAGTCCGAGTGCATGATCGAAGTAGTGATTTTGAAACTGAATATGTTAAACGTCTATGTTAAGTAATCAGATCTATGCTATGGAAGTACAACAAGAGTTAAGAAACAATCACTACTAAGGTTACTCGACTGAAATTTTGACTGAAGGACTTCATATTGATGACATTGGGAGAATTAGGCAAACTGTGCCCAATCTTTGGGAGAATCTGTCAATCTGTAACCAATCTGGCAAAAAGCTTGAAAGAATTAGGCAAACTGTGCATTAGATTCAATGTTTTAACCTATCTGCAAAGATCTGGCTATGTTATCTCTCTGAGCCATTCAAAAGTCAACACATAAAATCAGTGAATTTATGTCATCATGAAAATATTTTTTCTGGAGAATCCATTTTGTCAATTTGGGAGACGACAGAAAAACTAGAGAGTCTAGACTCAACTTTAGGTCTATTTTTTTTCTTTGACAGTCTTCAGCAATGATGATGTCAGCTTGAAAATTACGCTGAAACTTGTTGCTGTAAGCAATTCAAGGGAATGCCACAAGTGTATATTTTCAACATCCAAGGTCCTGACTTAGCCATAGTCCATGAGTCGTTTGAGAAGTTATTTTTGGATGTAGACCTAGTTGTGTATTTACTATAGCAGATAGTTCCCACATAAAGAGTAGAGTTTGTCGTAAGACAATTTAGGTGAAGGTAAAGACCAAAACCACGCGTCTAATGAAGGTACATCCTCGTTCAAAAATAATTAACTTCATATTTTCCATCAACAAAAACATCAATACCATATTCATATGAGTTAGTTTGTTGGTGACAAGGCAGAAAACATTTCATGCTAATTACTAAGATTATTTGCCACAGATTTTGCTGATTATTAGTATTTCCAGGAGAATTTAGTTTGAATTTTAGTAGAAGTCAGAATTTTTTCTTTTATGAACTTCTATGTTTTTCCATGTTATTTTATCTGAGTTGTAGATCTGTGAAGTTTCATGCTTTTGTTTTGAAAGGAATCAGTTTCATTGTTGGTCTTTTGACTTTTAATGTTCACAAAGGTCTATTTTTCTCAGCTATCTTCGATCTTTAATTTGGGGGCCGTCCCCATCTCAATTTTTTATATAACAGAAGAAAAAGAAAAATACCCACCAACAAGAAAGTTGTATCTTTGTCAATCTCCCGAAGTTGACAAACATCCTCCCAAGCTGCCTTCTTTGCGCCTCTTGGGCACAACCTTCTGACGATAGAAGACATTTCTTTAATAGCCGTAACAAAATTCTCATTCAAAATGTAACTACAACATTATAAAAGAAGTTATTTTGCTCCCCACACAAAAAACAAGTGCAAACCGTTCACTTGAACCAGGACTACCTACTGATCAGGTCCTGCAGTCTGTCGCCATTTCAATGTGTTCAATTTTTTCGCTGTCACAACAGTCGGGCCAAACCAAAATCCGCAGAGTTTGGCCCTCCAACCAGTCGGCCATTGTGCACTGATTAACACCTATTGTAAAACTGGCCGCATCGGACCAATTGGGATCGTAGTTAAGCTAGTGCGCGCCTAAAACTCACAAATAATTACCCCTGAGTCTTCCACCATTTTGGTAAGCCCCCTCCACCAAGCTTATCAACATTTACATAGCTTTTAGAAATATAGTTGGAATACTGTACCATGGCCCAGAATAACAAAAACCTTAGAAACTCGAATAAAGCTATGGGGAAATGAAATATGCTATGTAAACTGTAAGAGTACAGTAAAAAGTCTGCTGGTCAAATACTCATATTATAATATTAATACGGTAGGTATGATTCTTCTTTTCTATATAACAAAATTTGGTTTGTTTAACATCATTTAAAGTAAACCTCACCAACTAAACAGCTGACAGGGTGCAAGCAAAAAAAACAATTTTTTCAGAACTGTAGTTTCAATTCCAATTGTTGAATATTTGACAATTCTTTGAAGATTGCTTACTCAATGTAAAAATGCTCACGTAAGTAATACATATATATGTAAAAATTTGTCTGTTATGTATTAATTTAAACCCCATTAAACATTTTAATGTTCTGGATAACTCGACTACCTCTGGGTCTACAAATTGTTGAGTTGCGGTTTTACTGTACTTGTCCTTTGGTATTAAACTAAAGAGTGACGCCGAATCAAAATCCACCCTAAAATATTAGGGAAACATATAGTTGACATTGTAACACTTAATTGTCACCACCAACATAAAACAAATTTTCAAAACAGTCTCCAAAACAAATTACCTTAAGACAACAAGTCTTTTTACATTATTCTCTGTTAATTGGGCCATTTTTTATTAATATCTGGTTTTCTCTTATCTTCCCCACCATCTTAATTGAAAAGCTCTAATTTCATTTCTAAGCATTCTAATTTATTTCTTTGTCGGTACCGGTACACCATAACTTCCTTATTTCTTCACCAATTTTCACAAATGAGGCATCATTTTAAAGCCTTTTTTACCCGCTACAACGGTAAAATATAAGAAATCACTTGTTTTTTGTAAAAACTATCTATTTTATCATTCTGCAAGTAATTTAGACTTGCAATGTTTATTTACGTTATTTGATCAGCTGAAAAATGTGAATTAAATTAATCAAAAGGAACGAATATTTATTTTTCAAATACGAGTGTTTTGTTTTTGTCATCCAAGACGACCAACAAACTTGTCTTTGCTTTCTTCAATAAATAACTTGGGGATGAAATCAGATTATTCACTTTGAAGAAGTCTGAACAAGATCAACTCAAAAGTAAGTACCACATGGATACTTAGCTTTTATATTTCTTTATTTAACACATAGCCTTCCTTTTGACACACCTACCAACCATTCTATCTACATTTAAGAATTCCATCTTCAAACATCACCTCTTATATTTTCGTTATTACAGGTTTCAATGAATGGTTATGTTGAGTCGAATTTGTTTTAAAATTCATTGTGTAGCCCCTGAACTGTTGATTAGACTATAATTTAAGGTACATACCTTCACGTCCACAGTTCATAAATGAATGGTCAAACCCACTACATGTTTCGCCTATACATAGGCATATCGTGTTTTGTGTATTTATTTAAATGTTTTTTGACGAGTCTACAATGGACGAAACGTTCTTGAAGGACCACTTGACAATGCCTATGTATAGGCGAAACATGTAGTGGGTTTGACCATTCATTTATGAACTGTGGACGTGAAGGTATGTACCTTAAATTATAGTCGAATTTGTTACCGACAATTTTGATTCAGTTCTTTACCAAGGGACGTAGAACGTTCTGTAGAATCCAGTTTTAGAGATTGGAACTCATTAAGCCCTTTAGGTTTGTCACCACATAAACTCATGCTAAAAAGGTTGAAGATTGGTTGTAGCTCACTTGGGCATCTAAACTATCAAAGCCAAGTTGGCTGACTAAACTGACTAAGAAGGAATTTCTGTAAAAGTTGCCTTTGCCATGACTTTAAAAGGCACATGGACAGACACAGAAGGAAGGGTGCCAACCCGTTTCATTTTACACATTCAGTTGATTGTGGCTTTCTGTGTAAAAGCAAAGCCATCAACACAAAAATCATATATGGCCATATTATTATAGGTCTACTTCAAACACAGTGTTCAAAGAGGTCCTGTAAACATGTAAAAACGCTAATAACTTAACATTATTTTGAAAAAGTTAATTTTCTAAAATTTAAGCCCACACATCTATTCCTGAAGTAAGGACCCACACTTAAAATCAACGATGCACTTACTATACAGTGTATTAAACTAACTGTAACTTATGTTGAGTACTTCAGTACTTCAATGAGTGGGATTTGAGAAGGATTCAGTGCGTCTAGTAATGAGAACTGAAATAGTCCACCATGTTACCAGTACAACTTCACCATTTGCACATTTTATTATGTTTGTTGTGGTTGCATTATCTAATGAAGTAACCATCCAACAATTTTTTTTAAATCAGGAAGCACATTTGTATAATTCAGTATCTAAAGTCGATGAATAAAATAGTGGTACAAGTACTTTACACCGCCAAATTTGTATTTTACATTGATAATAATCGACTCGTTTCAAAATTATGTTTCAATGCGTCGTTTGGGGGGTCGGTCTCAACAGTTGCTATTTCGGCCTCTCCCACCAACGGCGCCGTGGCTTAGTTGGTTAAAGCGCCTGTCTAGTAAACAGGAGATCGAGGGTTCGAATCCCTCCGGTGCCTCTTTTTGTTCGACGATATTTTTACTACAAGAAAGTCTGTGTATTCAAATGCTGTTATAAATGTTTAAACAATAATAGGTTTTATTTAATTCATTTTTAAGAATAATTCATGTTTATAAATGTATAAATATTTAAATAGATTTTTATCAAAGATTAAGTTACGATTATTGCTGTATTTATTGTGCCTTATCAACCATACTATATCAATTAACTTTATTGCGGAGATAACTTTTGATAAGCAACGTTATAAAATAAATTGTGCATAGGTAATTTATTGTAAGTGGATTTTAAATTCCTTCATTAGCTTAATTACGATAATTAATTTTTATCTATTACTATTAACGTTTTATACAGAAACACATTTGATTTAATGTGTCAACTTATATTGTTAATTGTATTTTTTATTCCCAGTTTTAAAGACAAAGATGTTGATGTATCTGTTGTGTCTTGCTTATAGACTATTAAACGAATATTTTTTTGTAGTTGCGGGCATTTAATGTTTAATGACTATAGACTATAGCTTTAAAATAAATTGGAGTATGGGAATTGGGCTTGCAATTGCGCTGTCATTATTCATTCTTCAATAATAATTTTATATATTAGATTAGCCTACTCTTGTAACTTACAGAACCAAACAAATAAACTTGTTAGCGTTTGTTCAAAGTTTAGTAAAATATTTGGATTTTTTCACACGTTTCTAAGTAACTTAAACTTAGGTACA